CTTGAATTTTAATTCGTCAATATGATACAAATAAATAGATAACCTCTAACTCTGGAAAATTTAGTACTACTAATGAAGCAACGGCATCATCCTCGTTCTCTGGTACAAAGCTTATATCGACACCTCCAACAAAATCTAATCCCTGAAAAGAACAACTATCATCATCTGGATTTATTAATATCTCGAAATCAAAATCATCAAATTCGATGTGTTGTGTTTTGAGTTCAAGCTGTTCTCTTTGAATTAATAAAATCAATTCTTCAATATTCATCAGAATTTTAAAATTACGCAAAAATATAAAAATTTACTTGATCCATTCTTCTTGTTGCTGTTGATCAACAGAAGACATTCTTTTTTAATCAAATCAACTACGGCAGCTGATTTTAAATAAAATTCGTAGTACATGTACATGTACATAGGAATTAAATCAACAACGTTCCGTCATCGTGCATATATGTTAGAATATCATGCATAATTTTTTACACTTTAGAAATGTCAAATTTACCTTCAACGGAGACTGGCGCGAGCCAATTAGCTGCCAAAGTCATTGAACAAGAACCTCGCATCATAAAAAGAGAGCCTCTAGAAAATGCAGAATCACACTGGGTTGGATTATATAAGTTAACCTATGTTGATCCTCATGGACAAGAAAGGGTAAAAACAATAGACTTTGAGCTCCGTTCGAATCTCAATTTAAAAGTTTCGATTTTTCTTTGTGAAAAATACAAAACTCGCAAAGATATTTTTACAACGAATAAATAAGATCAATTCGAATCGGAGCTCTCTGCTACTAGTAGTCCTCGTGGTGGTTGTAATTTTGTATTGAAAATTTTATTACCTCTAATTTTAGTTCTGGGAAAGTGCTGAAAGGAAAACAAAAGGATCCAATGCACTAGATGGTATCTAGGATTTATTCTTTATACACTTGTGCATTATAACGGAATAATTGTAAAATTTGCTAGAAATTATAACTTATATATTTTTTTTCATTTTCCAATAAAATAGCTGTTGGAATTGTCGCTGTATTGACTTCAAAAGAGACTACAGAGCGTAAAACTATTCTGTGCATACAGTTTCGGCCTGCGACTGGAAAAAAATGCGTTGAATTCCCGGCAGGTATTATAAATTATATCATTCTTATCTTTTATACTCTCTCATTTACTCATTTTGTCCATGACAGGATTACTCGATAAAGGAGAAACTTTCGAGCAAGCAGCGCATCGTGAACTTCTTGAGGAGACCGGATACCACGGGAAAATACTTTCTAGCTCTTATAATATGTTCTCTAATGCTGGATTAACAAATTCTGATATAAAAATAGTTTTCATAGAGGTACTCAATTGACTATTTCCTTCTTTCCCCTTTATTTTATTATAACTATGAATAATCACTTAACTTTGTAAAGGTGGATCTCGACGACGAAATCAATAAAAATCCAAAACCATCGCTTGACGAAGGAGAATTTATCGCCGTTGTGATAGTTCCATTTCGAGATCTCAATAAAATGTTACGAGGTAAAATACTTTTTTGGTTTTTAACTGAAATTATTGTTTGATTTGTCGCTTTATTTTTTAACTCTATTATATAGAATACGAGAAAGAAGGATACGGGATCGATTCTCGACTTGCCTCGTTTGCATTTGGATTAGAGATGACTACCTATTTAACTTGATTAGAATTTTTAATTCTCATGTATCATGTAAACACAAAAACATAAATTAATATCAATACTAAAGTGCTGTTACTCGATATCTGTCTACGCAATCCGCTGTTCAAAGCAGCGATATCGACGAGTATATTGCGCATGCTTGGACGAACTTTCTAAGTTTAGATTATCGCATTGCAACAAACTAGTTCGTGACTAGGAATCGGTCATGATCCAAAATTTTATTGATGGCAATTGGTTTTTCCGTCGAATGTTACATCAACATAATGTACCTTTAATTGTCGTGGAAAATTCGAAGGTCAAGAAAAAATCATGTTGTTTACTACAGATAACTAACTTGTGTGACTCACCCCACAAATTATTCCTCATATATCACCGAAGTTGGATTTTTAACTATGATGTATAACAGCTAAAGTCATCAAACGTTTGTATTTTATAAATGGATAAACTTCTTTACTAAGAAGTAAATACAAAATTTAATCCATGAATATGATAGAATAGGCCCTTTCTGAGCATACTCAAGGATTAAATTTTGTATTTACTTCTTGGTAAAGAAGTTTTCTTAGATTTATCAATATAACATGATTTACTAGTTAAACAAAAAAGTTATTTGAGGATGAGTCAATAAAAAACCAAGCAAATTATAATTGTGCCCATTTATATTTACAATATATAAACTCAATTTGTTAATATGATAGATAAGACTCTAATTTATTATATTAACAGATTAAAATTTGAATTTAAATTTAAATTGATATCCTGTTTTTATATTTCTAAATATTAAGATATATATGTAATGCAATTGTAATTTGCTTGATTTTTATTAACTTATAACTTCTTTTAATTTTATCATTACTTTAATATATTATTATAATTATATTCATATTATTTATATTTTTAATAATTATAATAATAACTATTTTATTATGCTTTTTATTTATATATATAATAAAAAAATTTCTTTATAATTATATTTCTTTATAACTTCAATTTTGCTTTTTTTAAAACAATAATTATAAAGAAATTTGATTTTATTATATAATAAATTTTTTATTTTTTCAATATTTATATAATCTTAATATTTATTATCAAATTAATAATTAATAATTTTGTTAATTAACTATTACTTTTTTATTTTAATATTACAATTCCGAATTATATAATTGATAATTCAATTATAATATTATTTAAATATAAAAATTTGAATAATAAAATTACTAATTAATTTATATAATAACTTGAATTTGTTGTTATTCAAATTTATTTTTTAAATTATCAGGTTTAGCAAGCAAATTTGCCTGTTAAAAGTATATCTAATATATTTTTATCAAAAATTAAAATATATTAAAAAAAGTTTGTTTAATATTAGCTTTAATTATAT